CGAATGTATACAGCCAAACACTAATCTTCTTTGTTTCCAAACAAAATACATGTAACGGTCGACGTCGTGTAAATGCTGTACCGTTCTCATCAGTTTCGGGCTGACTCATACGGATTTCATTCTCTCCTGGAAAAATGTACCCGGCATTCAATCACTAAAAGAGTCGTTTCTTAGGAGATCTAGAACATCACCTATAACAACTAATAATGACAAAAACATTGCGGCTACTTTCTTGCTCTCTCATACCTGAATCACCATATACCGGCATTACATACGCATCCGCAGAAACCAGAGCCCCCTAAATGACCTCACCAATCCTCGTCACTTACTGGGCCAAAGGACGTTTTGGGCTCCTGGTAATATCAGTCGCCAAACTGCTTGTATCTGTCTCTATTTCAATGATACTAAGACCTTACGACACATATCTTATGACTATATGCAAGTAGGTACATCGTGAGAGGTACATTGATCGCGGCCGCATGATCTAAGTGTCAACGTCCAAGATGGCAGGAGACCATTAGTCACGGCCCGAATAAAAGTATCATCGTTCGCGTTGCAAAATACGACTTCTTTACTAGCAGGTAATCTACTGCTGCTGTATGCGCATACCCACCGAAGAGGAGCAGCTACATCAGTACGAACAGCAGGCCGCTTACGGCACGTACTGCAAATGAGAGCAACATCGGCCACCGCTTTAGAAACTTAGTCTGTTTGCTGCCAACCGTTTCAACCCTCTTTTAATATCATCCTCGTGTGATTTAAATATAGCACCTTTCTTCCTGAACTTATGATCAGTAGTCTCTAATCCTCTTCATCTTGAAACCGTTTTGTCTTCGCGGTGACCGGCCGTTTCGCCTACGAGTAGTTTCGTCAGTTTCGCTAACATCCTGTTCACTTTGCAAACGTCGCAAATCCTTTCGCTAACGTGCTTGGTCAAGTTTTATAAGACTTCACTCAGGTATGAGACAGCCTAAACGGGGGTTATTCGTAAGGCAAAGTTTTTCCACGAACCCATGCGCTTTCAGGCGATCGCGAATTGAGTTAGATGAAATTTGATTTATTCGATTTAAACCAGTTTACTGTCAAGTGGCGGCGTTTTTTCGTCTTGAGCCAGTTCTGAACTTTTCCTCAAAACAAGAATGCTTCAACATATAAAACAATAACAGTAAGAGCAATCTTATGTGAGCCTGTTCTTTCTTGCCGCCCATTATTTCCTAGCGCCTTCTATGCAGGCTACGACTTAGAAAACGTCAGCTAAACGACTCGTAGGCGAAATGTTCGAAAATCCTTCTCTATGCCTCACCAACTCAATCAGCCCCCTCTTTTCACAACTCGATCAGGGGTACCCAACGATGATTTCCTCCTAAATACGTTGAAAACACCTAGTACTTTTAGATCTGTAGAAATACATTCTGAGTGGCGCTACAAAATTTGTATCTGTTCGGTCGGCCTAGGGGACTTTGAGTCTTTTCGAAATTACAAGGGCTTCAGTATTATTTTCCCGAAAATTTTAGATGCAATGTATCGCTTTATGAACGTGAGAATTTTTCTGACTCCTATCTCAATCACACTTTTGAATCTGAAAATTTTATGTTTCCTCCTTCTACGAAAGACAGCATTACTTGGGGAGTGAAATGTCAAAAATTAAGCTTCAGAAAATCGTAGGGAATTTATTAGATAAGTTTCGAAAATTGTACATGAATGGAACGGTCATCTAGAAATTTGTAGCCGGGCGTCCTCAAGCAACAGGAAATTCTAGGCAACGTTTGCCTCTCCGAACAGATATTTTACAGAAAACAGGCGTTGGGTGCCCCTAACTCCATCAAAGGGACAGGGAACTTGAGCAACGAGGACGGCGAGAGGGACGAAAACGTCACTTACAGCGTGAATCCACGCCGTTTCACACTTCATTTACTCCATCTCGCTCAATTTGTCAACTTGTAGCGAATTTTTCTGGAGTTGATATCTACAAGGCTCTATCTAAGTCTAGAAGAAGAAAAAGAAGATCGTTGTCATGTGTCAGACGTCCTTCAAATACGTGAAATAAGAAGCTTCACATTGTAGTCTTGAGTCAGTAGTCGTCCAACGACGGCAAAGAAATGTTCAAGAAAGCGCGTAGTGCACGTCCAGAGTTGTTGCCTTAGGCTTTATTCCAAACCTATTGCTTTCTTGTCGTTCCCGTCGAGGAAGAGGTTGTACAATTTATCATCGCCTTGCCGTTCTCCTTTGGAAGTAACTTTAAATTTGGTTATTTTACGTCGCAGTTTGCAGGATGACAAACAAGCTTACAAAAAAGTTATGCACCTTCTTTTTGTTTTGTTTTGAGGTAGTCTGATAACCGATAAAAGGCATAACTCGAAAATGCCTGTTTGTTTTTATGCATCTATGAATTTGGTTTTTAAAGTGGGGATATACCACCTCAGGGTCGAACCACCACTGCAAGGCACATGTTGTGCCTGGGCACCAAATTCTACTCATGAATTCATAATGCGTTTCGGTCGACTTAGGAAAAAAGCGTTTTTTTGGTCAAGTCCAGGATTTACTTTCTGTGCATGTCCTCAACGACTCCTGGCCATTTATTTGTCTGCCACCACCAGAATCAACAAGAAGCGGCTGAAGCATTCTGGAACTTGTGGTAAAATGACGTCATCGTCAATTATTGTCTGGGCGATCAGATAGTAGCGATCGTCAGCAGTCATCATACTTCCCGCAAACACTGCTCAAAGTTTGGTTTCGCCTTCGTTTGCTTTGCCACTATTACATGTGAGTATAAAGTGAAGTTGAATAGGCTTATTTTCAGGGCTTTTTGGTAAACCCACGAGTTTAAACGCCCTTTTTTCTGCTCGTGAAAAGTTCTGACTACAGTACATTGTGGAACGATCTGAGTATTTAGTAGAACGATCCGGCGTAAAACGATCTGGTAATGAAACGAAATGACCGGATACCCTCTTTCCCCTTCCACTCACTAGTACTTAAAGAAGAGGTGAAGCATTTATTTACTTAAAAATATGATGGATTTACCGCCCACCTACATGCCAACTCTCAGTTTATGCAACTCTCCCGGATTATCTGGAAGTCTCTCGAATACGGCACCGATCTCCCGTACGGGTCACCATATTTCCTGGATAAATCATCTTTTGAGCTTTTCAGTGCCTTAGTTTGAGATTTAGGCTATTTTTAGCTCAAAAATTTAATTTTTCTCATTCGTAGTACGGTTTCTGGGGGATTTTTGCACGTATTTAGTCACTGACAAAGATTAACGACGATCGCGAATGATAGTATGTACTTAATGTAAGACTTCATGTAATGTCCTAAGCCATTCCTGGGTCAATTTGTCGGGGGCGGGGGGGGAGGAGGCTCCATTGAAATTTGGGGGATGGAGTTAGTGAAAAAGTCTCAAGATTAAAGATCTCCAGAGGTTGGCATCTCTGTTTATGGTCTAGTCACCCGCCAAGTCATATCGTGGAAAGTTATGTCACCTGAAATTTTTAGTCAAGTTGCCCAAAATTTTATCATGCTCAGCAACATTCTAACATTGTAATCACGCTTTTTTCGTTTCATCATATCTTTAAGAACAAGATATATTTCTCATTTGACGTGCTTGTTTCTTTTCATCAAGGCTTAAAGAACGTGATGTTACACATTCATCTTGCTTGTTTTGTCTCTTCATCGCATAAAGAACGGGTTATGGTACACATTCACAAGGCTTGTTCCATCTCACCGTATCATCATTGCTTGAAGAACGAGACTTAAGTACACAATTATCCCGCTTGTTTTGTCTTGTTATTGCTTAAAGAACGAGATATATTTCACATTCTCTTTATAAAAATATTAGGTGACTTGACTAAAAATTTCGGGTGACATGACTTTCTGGCAACTTGACCGGTTACCAGTCTCATCAAGGGTGAGATCATTGTAGTATCATGCAAACACGGAGACCTTCAGAAAAACCTAGTTTTTCTTGAAAAGGTTTCCCAGCTAGTGTTGACATAAATATAAGAGAAACTTTTCCTCTTCCAAGGAACACTCATCAACCAAACACTTGATGATAATACACATCCTACATGTAAATGAGGATTAAACAACGGGGTATGCCGATCTTGTTTAAGTCAATGTTAACCCCACTTGACCCTATCAAATCTTGTCACTTCTCAAATATCCATATCTTAAATTCTGTTTGTTTGACTGGATGTTTCTCTGTAATATGAACAGAGTCTGGTTTATCTTTGACAAAACTTTAGTCCTTTGAAGACTAGATTTAATCCTTTGATATTTGCTGAAATCTGTAAGAGCTGACAAAACTACGTTATCAGTTGGAATTTCCGAAAAGTGACCTTACCATATATTTTCTGTCAAATGGTAAACACCCCTAGAGTTGATCCATGCCTTTCTTCACTCCCTCTATTTCACTCTCTATTATACAGACATCACTCTTAGGTGGACAGTTAGTGAGGGTCCCGTGGTGTCATCTGAGACAGCCGAGTGTTCACTGTATACTGAACACAACACAGCAGTGTTTCATGGGATATCCAGACACCAAGAAGTAGAATGAAAAAAAATGAGATGCTGCTGACTTATATTCAAGACTGACTTTGAGTTGCCTGCAGAGTATTGTATGAAACACTGTGTGAAGTGTTTGATATAGCTTCTCAAAATGATCAGTAATTCATGTATAATTAAATAATGGTGACAGGTGAAATTAGGAAATAATTTGCAGGCATTTTGTCCAACTATAAGAAATTATTTTATTCCCTAATTTCCATTTTGTGGGTTAAAAGGTACTGGATGCTACTTTTAGCTACAGGTGTGTAACCTGGCTAAGCTAGCAAAGCTAGGCAGTTAAAACCGGAGTGGTTATGTTGGTTGAAATGCAGTTGTTACACTGGTGATGGCTGCTGGTGTCCATCGGTTGAGTCGAGGGCCAACTTACATGAAAACCTTTTGCTGCTCTGGAAAAGAGTGTACACGTATGTAGATCTTTAACAGTCTTGTTGTACAGTTCACTCGAGTAGTCCTTGTCTGCAGTTATCTGTGATACTTAATGTGGACTCTGCATCAGGGTTCTGGTTAAGGAAGAAGCAATCTACATAACTTTCCATCAATTTAAGAGCTGGATCTTCAGATGAATTTGGTATGCTGAGTGGTGGACATGTAGCTCTGTAAATTAACAATGCTGTGTTGATCTTGCTGTTCCTCATTACGCCTTTTCTTTTACTGTTTCACTGTTTGGTTCATTCACTCAATCTGAATCTATTACTCTGCAGATAACATGGGCTTGATGTGATGTGGTTGTTTGTTTATAGTGGAAAGTGAACTTATTTTTTATTAGCTTATCTAGCTAGTTTGCAGGTACTCCACTCAAATAATTAGAAACAAAATACAAACAGAATATAACAGGATTAAAACCACCAACTAGCAGGAGGTTACCAGTTGGTTATTGACAAGCATGGTCAGGGATTTGAACTTGGGACAACTGAGAACAAATCTAGCAAGTGGCCAGAGCAGGACTTGAACCCTGGACCACCAGATTGCAAATCCAACATGCTGACTACTCAGACATGCTGCCCCTGTCAAAGCAGTACTGGCCTGCAAAAGCTTGACTGTACCATTGTCAGGCATCACAGCTTTCAGAACTCTATGCTCGCGAAACACTTGTGTCAAGATGTCAATTGTTGCATTGGAAGTAGTAATATTAAGTCTTCTGATGTATCTACTGTAATAATCCACCATCAAAAGATAGCTTTTAGACTGAATTTTAGTGTAAGGTCATGGGGAACTTCATGTGGCATGTTGGCTCTTGAAAAATCTTTGACACACATTGCAACTTTGGGCCATCCTGAAGTATTCAGCTGTATTTTTGGCTATATAGAAAATTGATTCTTAACCTCTCGGTTGCATTGGTGCACGCAGTTTCTCAGGGACAATGAGCCTGTGGCCTTTAAACAATAAGCCATTCTCTGCACTGATCTCTTCTCTGTGGGTTGCAATCCATCCTTCTCTATGTTTGAGAACCGTTGCACAGTAAGGCTCTTTAATGCATAGACAATTGTCTTGCCATCTTGCAAGAAAAATGTACCTAATCCGTTCTTAGATGCATCTGATTGGATGACACTTGGCTTTGACTTGTCAACGTCTCCGAACACTTGTGCACTTGTGATTTCTTCTTGATAGTTTCAAAATGCTTCTTGCAGTGAGTTTTGCCATGTAGAGCACCTTTGTTGCACAGTACTCTTAGGGGGGCAATCAAATCTGCCAGCTTTGGGTGAATCAACTGCGATAGTTCACCAAACCAAGATAGCTTTAAACATCTTGAATTTTGGGGGTTGCTTTTATTATTTTCTGTAATGGCTTGTACTTTCTGGGAATCTGTCTTATACCCTTGCGGAGTGAGGCTGAGGCTACCACCAAAGAATGGACAGTTTTAGAGTTGCCATGGCACAGGACGTTATTTGCAATACCTGTAGTACTTGGGCTTGGGACACCTCTTGAGGGATCTGTTATAGTCTTTCTTGAGTCATGTCACCTGCCACAGTTGACCCAAAGACAAGCACATCCATTGGTACTTGTACCTCATAGTATTATCCTCCTGTCTTTTTTCGGAAGTATAATTGGAAAGGGGTATGATAATAAAGGCCACTATGGGTCTGCAAGTGAGTCTAGACCTCATGTTAAACTCTTGCTTTGTTTCACAGGAGAACCAAGCATTTTATCAAACATCACCTGCACCTTTATTCCACTTACCCCATCAAGAACAAGAACGCGCTTACAGTGGCATTCAATGCCGCTTGCTTGGAGATTAGATCGAGAAATAAGGAGCCGATTAATTCTACATGAAACAGCATTTACTCGCTGAAGGTTTTTTACTTCCTACTTTATCAACCTCAATACTTTTATTTGTTTCTGAATTGATTTAGTACGCGTATTAGCGACGACCAAAAATACCTCTGCGGTAGCAGGCTATACGCGTGTATAATTACACGAAAATTCAAGGGCCTCGATTCCAGAGAAATAACATAATTGCCAGATATCGAAAAAGTGATTTACATGGCACATCATTTCAATCATCGCCGAAAATAAATCGTATGCTCATCACAAGATTAATTTGCATACAGTGAAAGTTTACAACACCCGACCATCGCAATTTTGCTAATTTAAGATTCTTATTTTTTTTCGACCACTCAGTATAGTGTTCACTTGCTCCAAAGTAATCAACGCTTTCAAGCGATAGAATTCTTGGACCGACACATTTCGGAAAAGCTCTAAATTTAATCTTTCCTAATAAGCTTTCTTCGCAAAACATGAGTGGCTTCAATCATGCAATGATTCTTAGTCCCAGTTTCCACAGTTTTCGCAAGGAATGCCTGGCACAATGACCTGCCTTTTGTGTGTGTCCTAAATTACGACCAAAAATTCCGGGGGGGGGGGGGGTATTCC